GGGGGGGTGATGGTGTCGTCTGGAGTGGGTGTGCAGTTTGTGTTAAAAAAGTCATATTTTACTGGATAATATCTGTCAATCTGCCTTATTATCACTTACAAAACTAGAAGAGGACTAAAGGCCCAACAGTCACCTTGTGAAACCACATTTAAATTCACCAAATCCAGATTTTTGTAAGTTTTCCATCCAGTAGTTTTTGTGTAAACCTGACGGACAAACAAATGCTGAAGATAGCAGGTAATCAATGATTTCTCTTTTGTTTGCAAAATACAGCTGATTTTATTTCACAATAAAGACACACTGAAACTATTTGAGCTACCCCTACAGCCTTTGAATGCAACAGTCTGACAAAATTATACTGTAATACGATGATGGGTAATATGATAATGAGAATACATTCACAGGGGATGGAAAGACACAAGCTTAATCATAATTGTTGGACTAGAGCAAACGTTTAGACTGAGGTGCACTGTCTTAGTATCTGGATCTACAGTCATTCACAAACAACACTGCAGTTGAAATACTTTTACCTGAACTTCATCCCCTGACAGTGCACTTAATACTTATTATGATGGAATAACAAGTCAAACAAAGAGTTTCAATTTTATATTTTGAAAGGCAAGTTGACTATACAGTAGAATGCAGATTAAAGATCTATAATGTAATGTAATATATTTTTATGCTGTAGATAATTTTTGCATTATTCCACTAGGTGGTGGTCTAATAACATGGAAGAATGAGGCAACACTAAACACAACACAAGATTCGCAACGTGAAACTTATGAGGGAATCTCAACATTTGAATGTCTCACAGAAAACAATGAGATTTGGAGGAGAGGTTATTATTCAAGCTTTTATTAAGCAGGAACTAATATTTTGACAGACAGCATATCTTCATCAGAGCAGGTTTACCAATGCAAACGTACAGTCGCTGGTTAAAATGTCAGTTGCCACATATTATTAAGAACATGAACAATAATAGTGTGTTCTAAACCTAATCCCCCATCCTAATCTTAAACCTGTACTTACTGTAAAATGTAATGATTGTAAATAGGTATTATATGCACTATGCAAACAAAATGTTTTCTTATCGATTTCATGCACTTTTGTGCTAACACTGACAGTCATTATATCAAAATAAAGAGAGGAGAATTGAAATAATGGAACACCAACAAACAGTGAATGATTTCTGAATTCATGAGGGACGGGGCAGTTCTACATTGAACATGCCAGTCCTTCATGTGTGTCAATAAACAGAAAGAGAACTAATCATCCCAGCAAAGAGCAAAAACAATTTATAACTGATGTCAATGTGCAAGTCTATCTATCGATTGGAAGATTAGTTCAACCTCCTGTTCAAAAACTGGATAGGGATTACTCTGGTGGAGAAATGCAAAGCCACAAGGTCACTCATTAAATTCCATTTATTATATATTTATATATAGGTTATAAACATCACAAAATAGAAACTTGTGGAAGGTCTTGCACAAAGATATATGTATATAACCGAGTAAAAGAGCAACCTTAGATTAGTCAACAATGGCAAAGGAAGCAAGCATATCATCTGGGTTCAGTGGTGCAGCTATGTTAGGAACATTCTGGTTTCATAATTTATGTTTTAGTGCAAACAAAGTCTTTGCAGCTCTTGGCTCCAAGGAATTACTCAATATTAATAATAAAATAGGGTTTACTATATAGATGTTAAGGTTGCTCTTTTATTGCATATTGTTCAAGAACATACTGCGGTATTAGTTACAATAAGGTCTCAAGGTAATGATGTTCAAATGATCTAATATTCAATATATATTATATTCTTACATCTCATAGCATCAAATTGTATCTCATTAACATTAAACAATTAACTATTAGCAATATAAATATTAAAATACTTGATATAAATAACATGCTTTGAGCAAAATAATTCTTCTTTTACAATGTAATTCAAACAACCTAAGTCAAGAGCTGTCAAGCCTTAGAAATAGCTAAACCTATACATTGCTTTGTGTCAAATGCTTTTTTTTTTTTCGTCTGAAGGCCACTTTCAAACAAAGCAATTTATACAAGGATGACATCAAGTCTTACAACAAGATGAAGTAAGGTCCAACAAAAAATCTAAATGAGATGGAAATAACTGTTTGATTGTACGTCTTTGTCAAACTATCAAATAATAACTAATATAGCAATAATAACAAATACCCACATTACTACAGTATACTTAGGAAACAATATTTAAGTACTAATAAAAAAGTTGTAATATTACAACCAACAAGGTATAATATGCATTTCGGCTATGACATTAGTCAAACAAAATCAAAAGTGGGTGACAGTTACAACATGAGACCTGGCTGTGCCCACTATAATGTGGAGGCAATGAGATGTGTACTTCATAAATATTATGTGCTTCATACATAGTCTGCAGAAACTGGACAGATCAAACATATTCACACCTTAAACACCTGGATAACTGTTTTGTGCCTAATCTACATGCAGGCTATTAACTCTTCTGAGTGCAACAGGATCAAAACAAGCCAAAAACAATCTAGGGCAACTTTTAAAAGTGTGAATGTACACTGTAGTATATATGTGTGTGTCTGTGAGAATGTTCGTGTGTGGCAATAGAGAGAAAAGAGAGAGCGAGAGAGAGAGGGGGGGAGATTGCTCACATATACACACATATTTCTGTATCAGTGTTCCATTTTCTTAATCACACCGTGTATTTACAGTATGTACATAAAATGTACTGACATCATTACCATTACTATTCAGTGATATATTATATAATATCATCCAAGAGATGAGGGGTACCCAACCAGTCCAGTGTTCTTGGCTCAGATGCAGCCATGATCATGCACATAAACTGTTTCCCTGTTCTCCTGTCTATTGGGTAAATCGTGGTAGGAGTGAACCGTTTGTTACTCTCCACAAACTCACACAGCTGATTGTAGATCTTGGGATGCTCGTGGCGAAGGAAGACTCCCCTGGTCCTGAGCTCACGCTGGATGTTGACAAAGCAAACCTCTCTGGCTTTTCTACCTTCCTCCCCCTCCTTGTCAATATCTGGTGTGCCTGGAGGTGGAGTGAGGATGAGTGTTTCCATTTCACTGTCCTTCTTAAGTACCTTTTTGTCAGGACTTGAGGAGGCCAAGGACACCTTTGCATATTTTCGAACTGTTGGTGCTTGGACTCTTGGTGAAGGTCTATTAGGCACTAGTTCACCAACAGCTATCGATACATTCAGGAGGAAACATTCATTGGGGTCATACTCATTCCCTGCCAGCTGCAGTTCCTTGCAGTATTCACCTAGGTTGTCCTTGAATCCATCCAACTCTCTGAGAGATAAATATGTGGGAGACATGAGGAGGCTCTCCAGCCCAACTTGCAGGAAGTTGTCAGCTGTCTCTGGATTAGCAAAACCCAAAAAGAGAACACCTCTCCCTCTGGAGAGGTAGCCAGCTTTAGCAACGCGAGAGAAGGCCTTGTGGATCTCTGAGCTCTCTCTGCAGAACTTAAGAGTGTGTCGACACACACTGCTTACACGGCCATAAAGGCAGGTTTCTTTGTGGGTCTCCCAGTTGTCCCTGCGGCAGTTTCGTGAGCAATAAAAGGTGTAGCAACTGTGACATGATTTGTAGTACAAGCAAGCATTGAACATACTCTCAATACGGTTGCATTTCTTGTTAGCACACACCATAGTGTCGTCTTCATCTGTGCTGTGGTCTGGAGAACATTCTTCTGCACTCCTTTGTAAAGCATCACACCCACTATCGGGGTCTTTGATTGTGTCAGGGCTGGATTTAGAGGACAGCTGTGTGTTCAGACAGCCCAAGTTTTCAAGTCCAGAAGATTCTCTGTCTTTGTCATCATCTTCAGTAATGAGTTGTTTTAGCTGGTCCAAAAGGTCTTCACTTGATTTTCTGCAAGTTGGTGGTTTGTAATCAACAACCAAATCTGCCAAGAGTTCGTCCAGTTGTTCTAGACTCTGCTGGAGCGAGAAGTTGTTGTGTTTCCTGTCTTTGGTTGTGTCTGCTGTGGTGGATGGCTGCTTCTGATGCAGTATTCTCGAAGATGGTGTCTTTTCAACATCCGGCATATCCCAACGGACAGAGTGCACATCACGTCGCTTGCTATTGGCTGCACAGATGTCATTGTCTGTTATGGTAATCTCAGGTGTTACAAACCAGTTCCCACTCTTGATATTCCTCCACGGACTGCTTGACCCCTTCTCTAACGAGTTTTCTGATAGTGACAGTGCAGCATAACGCCTTGGCGAACTGGAGAGGTTAAGTATAACAGGTTGAGATGTAACATCAGCGGGTGCTCCATGCTTTGCTTGGTAAAAGAGGTTCTCATAGCTTCGTCCACGAGGTACTGACTGCTCCCTGTCATGCCGTGGATAAAGAATATTGTCCCAAGACTTGGAATGGTTTTTGACCTCTGCTCCTAGTCTACTTGTGTCTACACAGCTGCTAGTCAACCACGGGGGTATACTAGGGTCTTGTCTTACACTTGGTGGTGTGTGCAGAGAAGACCGGTTAGAATAACCAGATATACTTGAGCGATACCAGTCGTCTGAAAAAGCCTGGGACATTCGTGGGCGTTGACGACCCTCCGTATGATATGGCCTTGGGGGAAAGTACTGCTCCTCAGGAGAGCTGAACTGTTTGGGATAAAACAACCTTGAGTTACTCATATGGTATGGATTGAACCGGCTGTCCTCTCCATAGTAAGATCTTGACAATGGAGTTTGAGAAAAGTAGGACCCTGCCTCACTCGTGGAGTATGGCCTACTATATGCAGAGTGTGCTGGCCCTCTGTTGGACAGGTGGTCTGTGTAATATGACCTGACTGGAAGAGTATGCACCCATCTAGTCCTTGGATCATACTGACATGTCATTGTACTACCATAGCTGGTTAAACTGGAGTGATCATCCTGAAAGTGTGCTCTAGAATAGGGATGGCCTGGATACCGAACAGGGTCCTCTGTGTAGAAAAACTTGGTGGGTATGTTCGGATTTGAGTAAGCTCTTTGCTCTTGACTCAGATATGGTGCTGTTGGTGATGGCATTCTGTGCATGTCTAGATGCTGGTAGGAGATGGGAGACATGCTGGTGGTGTAGTGGTATCCTTGTCTAAAATCTCCACTATAGCATTCGCTTGGTGTTGGTGTTGGCGAGGAGACAATCTGCTGTGGTACATACAAACCTCGGCTGCTACTAGCCTGGGAGTATCTCTGCCAAAGATGCTCAGTCCGTACATTAGGAACCTGCCTAGATGTGTGCTGCAGTACAGAAGCATCTGGTTTAATGTCCACACGGCACCTTACATGAGGGGTTACGGCTGGTTTATCTGGTTTGTCCTCCTCAAAACAGTCTGACACATAGAGGGGAGAGTGGGGCTGAAGTTTGATAGGATGCACCTCATTCAAAAAAGCCCTGTTTGAGGTGTAGGCTTCTCTTGGTGTTTCAGAAGTCCTCAAGGTATCTGATGCAGCCTGAGGTGCATCCCTGCCCTTCCTGGCTCCTGGAGGAGACACTGAAATGGGCACAGGAGTGAGGGTTGCCTTAACCCTTGGTGCACTTTTAGATCTTGTTCTCTTTTTAGAGTCTGACCATGTAAGATGGCTGTTTTTCTCGTGGCTGGAGTGCTGCTGGAACTGCCTGTTATTAAACAGATCGGGAGATGAAAAGCGAAGATGTCCCTGTTGATCAAGTCCATTCCACATGAGATCTTTGTTTAATGTCTGATGCTCAGCCCTCTTGTAAGGGTACTCCATTGAGGAAGAGAAAGACTGTGGATCATCCAGTGACTCAATGAAGTCAAAGCTACGGCAGTGTCTTTTGTTAATGATTTCTGGTTTGTCTATCATTTTCAAGTCACATTGCTGGGAAGAGTGAAGAGAAATAGAGTGGTCGGTGATGGGATTTAGACTAATGTCCCGATACAAAGTCGATGCCAGTATATCAGGGGGATGTGTCCGTGTCATCTTAAAGTAACTTCAGTAGTCTCTATTAGGTGTGATTCAAGATCAACACAGCCTGTGGAAAGAGATAAAAAAACAACTGAATGTACTGGGCTTGTATAAAAGTTGTATAAAAGACATTTCTACTTCGTCTGTGAATCAAATCATGTGCTGAAACCATTTGAGTACATTTACATTACAAGCAAATATATACAGCAATATCCTTTTTGGTCTGATTCCTGTAAAGATGACTGGGTAAAAAATTAACAAATTTGATGACTCATTTACAAACAAAGGTGGATTTTTTGCCAGTAGCCAAAACACAATATCTTACCAACTTGACAACCAGTCATTGTTTTATAATATTGGATACCAAAATGTGTGTCGTCTCCACTGCTACTTAAAAGTTGTTTTTTAATTCAAAAAATATAAAATTTAACATGGTAGAGACAATAAAAATAAATACATTTCTATTTTTGATTATACTTTATTACAACAGCACATTAATTCAAATAAGATATCTACAATTATATATTAGTGAGCTTACAATGTAAACAAAGTGGATATAAAATATTTGTTTGATTTTCATTACATGATAATTACATAGTCAAATCTTAAAAAATAGGAAGCGCAACAAAGCATTTCATCCTCTACAATTTTAATTATTTACATCTCCTCAACAACTTCTCTCGGATTCTGAAAAAATATATATCGAGACGATTTTATTAGGTACATAGAGTTCATGTATGCTATTTCAACAATGGATTTTTATGTGTCATACACATGGGCTTTCTTGTTGGCACTCGCCCACAAGCCAACCCTGAGCTACCATCTGTTCATCGTGATGAGAAAGGACTGACCAGCCATCTCTCTGTCATGTCTCCACAACACACCAGGTTCACGTCTGTTCACACATGACCAACCATGACAAACAAACCTTCCCTGTTATTCACTGCTTTGCTTGGTTTGTTAGAATTTCTTGTTCCTGGACATATTGTAGAGTACGTGTGGGTACATAATTTGGCTGCACTTAATAAACAGAAACAAACAAGTACAGTTGCAGTAAAAGAGACTGTTTCAATAAATCTATAATAATGATTTTATATTCAGTATTTAATTGCATTTATCGTGACAACAATGCTATTACATTACTTCTACACAGTAAGAACTACTGTATTGATTTTATTGTGCGAGTGTTATAGTTTAACAAATTATTCAGTAATTAATTTGGCATGTTAAATTCAACAACTTTAAAATATTAAAGTAAATCCAAGAAGTTCAAGCATTTTAAAGCTATTTAAGCTATAGCTTCTGAAAGCCTGTGAAAACTGCTGCTTTCTCCAAAGTCTGCCATTCTTAGAAATACTGGTTGAATATATTTCATGACTGTCACTGCTGGGACGATGGTCACTCATGTGTAATTGATGTGATTATAACATAAAAATAATCTGGGATTAATTCTGTGTCATTTATTCGGAAACAGCATAAAGCATTGCAATATTAATATCTGATTATTGATGACGGTGGAAATGATGTTTAAACTACATAGGAAAAATAAGTTACTTCAATCCATCACTTCCAATCTTTCTAGGTTTAAATGAAGGAGTTGAGGTGTCAGCGTGATGACAACACTTCATTCAGTATAAAGAATAGAGCCGATGAGGTGCAGGATGTGAGTAGTTCACTACCACAATCTATCTACCTCAAACAGAGAACCACTTTGAATACATTAATGGATATGAATAATAGCCATAGTGAGACAACATTGTTAAAGGAGATATTAATGGCTTTGCAATGATAGTGTAAAAAAAGCTCTACATAGCGACTATACAAGCAATTATGCATCAAATATTACAAGAGATTGATAAAATATCAGAATTAAATAGGTCAACAGTGAGGTCATCTTTACAGATGACCACAGACACACTTCTTAATAGAAAATAGAAATATTAAGAGCTTTCCTCTCTGATCACGGACCTCAAACTAAAGAAACACAACAGATTGGTTTTCTTGTTTGTTTTTAATCGAAGGTCAAGACAAGATGGTATAAGACTATAACTCAACACATTCCTCCCTCTGTTCATGGTCTGATGCTGTTTCCATGGGGGGGACTACACTTTCTAGCACAGCATGCCACATACTGTCTCCATGGCTACAGCACACAGCAAAGAAACCATGAAACACTCCTCTTAGTTGCTCACTGAGGGAAAAATCTCAGGCTGGAAAAAAATCAGTTAAATAACCAGTGTGAATGGCTGCAGCCTCTTCACTGAGCCATGCTGCTTCAATTTCCTGTGTTTATGGTTACATGCAGTTTAATGAATGTTAGGCTCATATTCACTTGGATGGTGAAATGCAAGTAAAACAACTTGGGGGTCTGTTCTCATGCAGGGATTGCCAGAGAATAGCAAATGTGATGCAGATCGCCTGAAACCTCCCCCGGGGCCAAGTCGCGGCGCACTGAGCCTCGTTGTTACCCAACACTGGCTCCGACGCACCCGGGCACCCCCCTGATATTTTGGTGCTGCGGCGCAGGACGGCCCTCCATCCTCTGTGGCTGACCCTATGCCTTTCAATGGCATCGTTTGCAGGGGAAATACAGAAGGAGGCGATGGGTTCGGCTGGGGACAGAGGCCGCCCGATGGTGAGCAGAGAGCCCGGTGGGAATGAGTTGGGCTAAGTTTGTGCATGTTAGATTGAATAAGTGAATGCGGGGCCTTACCGTGTCGTCGGATGCGGGGGCCATGGTGGTGAAGAAGCAGCGGCAGCAGCAGCCTGCTCTCCCCCGTGGGCTGCAGCCTCAGTCCTGGCGCACTTGCTGAGAGCCTCCCAGAGCCGAGCGCACGTCCTTCATGCTGCTTTTACATGTTGTCTGTGTCACCCAGCGATTCTCTCACACGCGCTTATGTCTTTGAGTATGTGTGTGTGTGTGCGTGTGTGTTTGTGATGGAGAGATAGGAGGAGGTGTGTCCGAGCCTGCGCCTGTGCGTGTGCCTCTGGAGGCGTGGTTGTGCGTGTTTTTGTGAGGAGGGGGCGCTGGAGGAGAAGGAGGAGGAGGAGGCCGGGGCTGGGTGGGTGTTCACAGCCGGAGCAGCACTGCGGTGTCTCCGTTCATCTCTGAATATATGGAGCTCTAAATGTAAGTGCCTGAGTGTTTCCGGTTGAGCTGCTGGCTGAGTGGTCATCCTGCAGTGAGAGAGAGTGGCTCGCTTATCAAAGCACATCTGATGATGACATTTATTAAAAGTCTGCAAACAGGTTGAAAAGACTGCATTCACAACCGAGCCTCTCCTAAACCTGTGGCCCCTGGTGCTCCTCCTACACCAGTGGACATGGGGATGAGAAAGTCTTGTGCCAATCTTATTATCATTTAGTTGTGGTGGAAGTAGATGTGCGGTTACCTATTTACTTCTTAATTCCATTAATGATTAATGTGCCACTTTTTCCCCATCTATGAAATATCAGAAAACTGTGAAAATGCAGGTTGTAACTCCATACTCTCAGGTGACATCTTTAAATGTTCCTTCACCAAAAAAGCAAAAGTATTCAATTTACTTTCATCATCAGCATAAATCAAAACTTCAAATTATTGCAACAAGATTGAAGCTTGAGCATTTGTGCATGTGTGTGTGTGTGTGTTTGTGTGTGTGTGTGTGTGCGCTTGGGAAATTGTGTAACGGTTGATCAAAACTATTTACAGGTTTTTCTAAAACAATCCAAAAAAAAGTTCCTTTATAATATGATGGACTGTTCAAACCCTGACCTGCATGCACATTCAGATCAATTCAATTTTATTTGTAAAGCAGCAAATCACAACAAACATTATCTCAAGCAAAGTGTTTACAGTGATTCACATCTGCTTTGAGAGCCTGTGCATATACATTGGCACAGACTGGCCCCTCAAGAAACTGCTCACATAAACCACAAGGTTTCTTAGTATACAGGCTCTCTAGCTTGCAGATCATCTATGTTGTTTGTACTTTTACAAGAAGCCCCGTGTAACACACATCTGCCCATAGTCCCACTGAGACACATCCTTCTGCATTGTCTGAATTGATGATAGGGACATCTGGCTGTGAGCCCCGGCCGGGAGCATGTGACTGCCGCAGGAAAACTGCTTACCGTAGCACTCTGACGACAGAGAGAAATCACTACAGACGAAGTGTGCTGATCACGCTGAAGATCACAATGATACTTTGCTTTGACAGAGCTCATTTTGCTGCAGGAAAGTCAGCTTTTTACACTGCTCGAGCAAAGACTATCTATACTTTTTCCTGCCTGTGTCCTGGTTACAGATCACCACAGCCAAGACTCCATCTGTGACATACCACGTGCATTAGATATGATTCAGAACGACAGTACAGTGGATCTCACATTGTGCGGCTTCCAGCATCCTTGAGCTGAGAGTGGGATCTATCTGGGCATGTGTGACTCACCCTCTCCAGCACAGTGCTTTGGCATCAGTTTGTGTCAGCTGTGGGTTAGCAGGCATAAGTGTCTGTCAGCTGGCTGCTAGCAGGTGTCGCAGTCACCTCATAGGCTCCACGGAGAGGAAATCAATGGCTCTGTTGATTAGAAGCCCCTCTGACAGGGATCGATCGGGTTTACTCCACCACAAAGTAACAACATTAAAGCTGAACACTACGTCAATCTGCCTTCAACACGAGCTCACACTGCTCAGACATCACAGCCGTAATGAGGCATAAGGAAGAATCTGGCTATTTTGCTTTCTTCCTGCTCCCCACTCATACTGGCACAGTAAACAACCCTCAGTTATCCAGATGTCTCCAAATAACTCTCTGCAAGATTAAGTCTCTATCTGCAAAGTTTCAATCTGATTTCTCTGCTCGTGAGTGAGGCGCCAGGCCCAGAAATAGCTATCGTGGCAGGCCCGATACAAAGCAAGTTATTTGGACTGAAGTCATGTGTCAGAGGAACAAGGAAAACACATTAGATTGAGATGTTAAGGCAAAAACATTTGAGCCTGAATGTATCATAGGAAACCCCGTGGGGAAGTGAGGGATGTTGTGCGTGGTCCCTGCACTGGTTAATATTTCACACTGCAGGAATTAGACCTCTCAGATAGACACATGTCTGAACGTGGGTGGTTCTCTGACATCCTACAGACACTTTTTATGCCCTTTATGAAATATGCAGTCACTGGGATTCACTAGGAGGTGAAGTGCAGTGCTGGTGAGTCTAAAAAACGCAGCAGGAGATGCATCCAGTCTTTCCTTAATTCCAACTCAACCCTGATTAAGTCCTCAGCAAAATTAAACCACTCAATCCTCTCCGTTCAAACGTTCGTGCCCCAGACGTAATTTACAGTCATGGCGGGCCATATAGGGCGCACACGCCTCAGACCTCTTTTTGTGAGGATTTAGAGGCAGCCAAGTCAAGTGGATGTCCTTTTGGCTCGACAGGGAACCAAAGAATTTACGTTGGCATAGTTTAGATCCCCGGTGGATCAGACTAGATTTTATTCAGCAGATTGTTTGTTCTCGTTCAAGTGAACCAGAGTTAGACATGTTCATGTTGCTGTCCTTAGGGAGCTGATACTGTCTGTGCAAGTGGGAAAAGAATCAGACGCAGAAGCAGCTTTATTGGCCAAGTATCTGTTCACATACAAGAAGTTTGACACTGGTTTTATATTGCTCTCAGTGCACTTATCTAGAAACAGCTATACGGATGAGTACAACAAAAAACTGAACAATCAACCAACAGTAGGAGAATGTGCAGTATAGCCTATATTGGAAACCTTGATGACTAACACCACAAAAGTATACAGCATGAGATTATGTGCACACTTCAGAGGGTTCTGTGTGATGTAAAGAGAAGCAGTAAAGAAGCAATAAGGTGGTGCAATTAAACAAACAATAAAGAGAGTATAAATATGCAGACAGGGGATGTATATGTACTAAACATTTCCACACAGTATTCAGGATTTATATAAACAATTATGTACAGTGAATAGCAGATCATTACTATCATATCAATGTCATACGTGTTAGAAACTGTGCATATGCATCAGAGGTCAGATGCATTGCTCTGCATCTTCAAGTAGAAAATAATTGAAAAAAAATGGTTTGCTTGATTAGCAGATTATTTAATTTCTTTGGCTGCACAGAAAAAGAACATTCCAGTCCACTGTGAGTAACACCCATGAACAAATTCATGTGCATGCCAAACTATTTGGGTGAGGTATCCATGGCGACGCACAGCGAGTAGGAGCAAGAGAGACCGAATTGATTTGAAAGGAAATGAAGTAAAGTGCTGATGGGAGACCATAAAAACTTACGTCACCCGGCTGAAACCAAGGCAGGTGAAAAGATTCCTTGTGTGGCTACAATAATGTGAAAGTGCATCACGGGAGCAAATCAGCAGTTCAGCCTCATTTCCACCGTACGTTTAGTGCAAACACACAGCACAGATGTCTCTCTCTCTCTCGTACGTCCCAGATTATCTCCAGCAGAGATCGACAATTTAAAGATAACATAAGGTTCACCAGAAGGAGACCCCCACCCTCCCTCCCATGGGGCTGCCTCACGGTGAGAATAAGACCTGCACCTATGTGGGCCGCGCCTCCTCTCACTACATGTAGGTCAAAGTAAGAATAGTGCAGATATTATTCACAGCTGCACTGAACTAACACAAACTCCTCTGTCCTGGTCTCTGGAGTCGCAGTAAGCCATCCCATGGTGCAGCTTAATTAAATCTTTACTACATACTCCGCTCTCATCCTTCATCATCTGCCATCTTGGCTTGAGAATCACTCAGTGATGTGTGCAGGTTTATTAAAGGGGAAACACATTTAGAACCAAAAAGTACAGGCCTCTCGGTGCAGTGCATCTTAATCCCCAGGGCCACCCGACAGGGTGAGTTATTCGTGGTTATGCATTGTCACCGTTATATTGTTATGTAACAACAGAGTGTGGTGATATCACATTCTGAGCAAACCGCTCCCGATTTCCAGGCGCTGATTGAAGTCAGCAGGAGGTTTTATAATGCAGGGCTGTCATCAAGGTCTCCGTATTCAAGTCTGGAGAGACAACAAATCTTTTGTGCCTCGCTTAGAAGAGGGCCTTCTAAATATGGATATCGTTCAGCCACCATCCCGCTGCAGCACAATGCAAAGCAGTACTGAGTTGCACTAATTGTGCTGGGCTGTAAGGCAGCATGTATACGAGCTGTAACAGCCAGTGTTTGCCTTTCAGAAACAACCAGCTGATCACTGAATGAAACAGCTGACATTAGCTTTTACTTTTCCTTCATAAAATGATAAGAATGACTGGGAACACTTGCTTATATGTTTTCTATAATCAACGACACAAAAGTGGTTTGACCCCCTCACTCCCTAACCCCCCCCATGCCTGGCATTTATCCCATTAAAACCCTGTGTACTTTGCACACACCCCCTCTCACCAAATTGCATATGCAAATCAGTTTTGACACTTGCTTTAATTTGTGATTTAATGGCTTCTTAATGTATGAAATTACACGTCTCTGATGCAGCCATCCAGATGCACCTGTGCTCGCAGATTCTTGGGGCTATGTAAATGGGTCAGCTCTAGAAATATCCAGGCTCGGAGAAGAAGCCGTGAGCGTCCCTCCCCTTTTTAACAGAATGAGACTAGTGCTGGCAGTACCCTTGAATCCTTCCTATGTGACCTGCAAAGTCATGAAAGTTGTATCAGGATGATTACGCAACATCTCTATGGTGTATGATGAAGAAGATCACAATATATGGTGACCGTGATAAACTGATAAGAGCATGTTGTCTTCTATTAAGATTTAAGCCTTTCCTTTGCTAATGCAGCCTGAAAATGTTACGTGTTAATGTGTGTTTGAAATCTTTCCTGATCAGAGAGGGTGTTAACGACTAACCAAACCAGATTTATTAGAAGAGAACAGCATGGCCCAATGGGCAGTGAGATAGGAAGTGCAAGCAAGCGGACAGACCAACCATATACTGACCTTTCATGACTCGCTATATAACATCCTACCTGCAAATTGGGTTTTTCTCTCCAGTCACTTTTGTCTGCAGTGTAATTGTTCAAGGGAAAAATAAGTTGATACACTTTCTGTTCAAATTCAACCTTCTCCGACTCAGCATTAAACCCGCCTGCCAAAATATTTAGACAAGGCTCATCATTTGATAGTTAGTTGAGAGTAGATTTTAATATTTTTCTCTAAACTCTGGATGCAGACATTGTACAAAACAAGGCAATTAAATACAATCATTCTTAGTGTGGGCTGAATAACACGACCGGTCTCTATCAACTGCAGCTGCTGTATTCAGATGTACACCAAAAGATACTAGAGCATAATACATGTGTTTTCCCTTCCTTTTTTCACCATGAATTAGGCCATTATTCTAAGATAGGCTATGATGAGAAGTGTTCAGGGAGCCATTTGTTCACATGTCACAAAATGGTTTAGTTAATGGGATTCTGCACACATTGGTATTTGTATTTTTTCTGTGTGATGGTGAATGTAACTTGTAAGACAAGGACAATTAAACCTCTTTGCTTTTTACAACACAGTAGAAGAAAAGAAACAAAAGTGCAGCATTATCAACATAACCGTTACATCTGTTTTATTAAAGAAATTTTAAATCTCAAGCACTGAACATACTTTTTTATCTGTTATAAAAAAAAAATTGCAGTTCTTTAATTTTCTTGGCAGAAATGCATCTCCCTCACAGTGACACAGTGTCGGGTATTAGAATAGTTCTGTTCAAACACAGTGACACAGAATGCTGTGCTCATTTCACTGTGTGAAAGGAATTATATAACCGTGGTTTAATGGGGGCCGGAGTAGACTGTAGGCCCACACCACCTTGTGGTCACATTCGTTTGCCTGCTACTGCAACGAAAGTGCAAAAAGCAAGTGTGCTCAGTTTGCACCATACATTCAATACATCTTATAATGTTGCATAAAAAATCTTTAAACACAAATAGAAAGACACTTCCACATTTTGACTTTTTTAGCTCTATCCTGGCCTTATATTTTAGATACATAGTTCGATACCTCAGTACAACTTGAATTTCCTTCGATTTCAATAATCTATCTATCTACAATTTGCAATATCATAACACAACTAACTAATTATAAAACAGCCAACCTGTCTAAGATGTGTAGTTTAAAACTGAAAAATTATTATAAAATTATTATTATTATTACCATGGAAAATCCATTCATCCTGCCATTTTACATATCTTACCCTTTGAGGGTCATGGGGAGACGGAGCCAATCCTATCAGGTGAGGGCCAATCCCATCTGGACAGACCGCCAGCGTGTCACAGGCCTGACATATACAAACAACCTTTCACTCTCACATTCATACCCATGTCCAATTTAGAGTCTCCAATTAGGCTAACCTCAATCTGCATGTCTTTGAACTGTGGCAGGGAGCTGGTGCAACCAAAGAAAACCCACACAGACACAAGAACATGCAAACTGCACACAGAAAGAACCCTCTGATCCAGGAACCTTCTTGCTGTTGGGCAGCAGTGCTAAACACTGACTGTACCACTGTGCTGACGAGAAATGTCTCTTCCAGGATAAACACATTAATGGTTAGATATGATAAGGTCAAACTTGAGCTCTGTGTTACTGTTATAAACTGAATCAACACTAATTGGATTAACTTGTTTATAGACTTTATTAGACATGTGCATGTTTTAAGAACATACTCATTTTCACTTGATATAGCTACATTGCATATAACATCAAATATTCTTTTACATTTAATTCAATAATCCACCATGATTTACATTATGCTTTTTTTTTTTTTTAATTCACAACAACCTCAGCCTTTTGATTTTTGCACTTACATTTATAATTTTTAACTCTGGCAGGCATCGATCGACAATCAGTTCAAATTTGTACGGATTTCATCTTTTCACAAAGATTATATGCAGTTAGAAAACAATAAAACTAGCTGTAACAAAAAAGATTACATTCACAGTCAAATATATCCACCATGAATAATGTACACATTTAGAAAGAAAACAATTGTGAATATCAAAAACATAAATACAATAAACTATTCTTCTTGCATTTCAGTCGCTGTTCATCAATCTCAGGCAGTTGCTTCTTAGTATGGCCAAGAGCACTCTGAGTAACAGCATGACATTTTTCAAAGTAAACCATCCATGCTAATTCTGATGGCTCATTTTCATAAATAACACACTCAGTGTTAACAGTTACACAAGGCTGCTCCTGGCGGTGAGCTCTGACAATCATGTACTGACACCTAGTCTCCGTAAAATTCCAAAAATGAATCCCTAAATTACTTCTGCTTTAATCCACAGTCTTGCCTCATTGAAGCATGTCCAAGATAATCGAAACAAAAATGCACAAATCTTGAAAACGAAAGTTTAGAGACACATATATCAACAAGCACGAGTAGCAGCAGGGGATGGAGGAGACAGTCTGCATCACTCTGAGCTCTGTACAACACATCGATTTGGTTTCACCAGTTACAGAACAACATTCACACATTCACCATTGAGCACAAGGGGTCACTGTGGCTACACAGATAGCCTGACGATGAACACAGGCAGCACAGAGAATCTGCAGGGGAACCAGGACTTCTCTATTCTTTTGGCTATTGGGTCTTCTCTATAAAGCTTGATATTGCCATACTACATCAACATTTGCATGAAAAGAACTTCTTGTGGAAGACATTTTCAGTGCCTGGAAACTGAGGCGTATTTCAGCTCAGATTTTCAGAATAATGATCAAAGAAAGACTTGTCAGTGCAAAGAAGGGGTGACAGGAAGTGCTCAATGTGCTGCAGAGGTGCATCTCACACTTGACATTCCTTTATGTTTGCATCATTTTTTCGTTATTGTATAGAGATTAGCTGCAATAAAACATGTGACATTCCTTGGCTTAGCATATGCTTTGGGTTGTGGTCTGACAGAGGGGCATGTATGGCAGCAGCTCTGCTGCACTGCATGACACATATTCAGAGTTGGAGTTAATTCAGTGCAAAATCACAATGCACTGACTGACTGCTAAACCCTGACATCAACCTCACTAACTTACTGTGCATCATTTAAATGTAATAGCTGGGTGCAGCCATTAGTTTCTCTCGTAACATTGCTTTGAATTCAAGGGAATATGAAATTAAACTGTAAATAGTCTTCACTAAAATCACTAAATCTACCTGAACCATTGCCAACTCTGCCTATGGCGTATCCTACCGTACCGCACCTGTCACACACACAGCAGCACCCCAGTGTGGAAACAGTGAGCTGTTGCTTTGTCAAGTGGCAGATGAGTAAACCTGAATCTATAGACCTCATCAGTCTGCATCACTCTATTCAAGTATAATGTTGCAGTATACTCTGTGTGCAAATACATTTGAAACAATAAAAACTTTCGACCTCATTAAGATGCATGCTTTTTCCTTCATTATGGGTTAACAGCCACAATGAAACTGTAATGGAAGACCCTCACCCACACAGAAGTGTCACAATCAATTGGACATCCCTGAGACAGCTCCATTTGATCTGACGTTCTTGTCCATGTAAGGCATGCTGAAAGTTGGGGGGAAACAAAACAGGAAGGAGTGGCAGCAACAACACTCTCACAACAAGTACTACAGGCTACTTTACTAACCAATTCAACTACATGTGACGACACAATTACAAGCGCCAGTGTAAGGGGTGGGGAAACGCAACCATTGCTGTTGACATGCAGCTAAGACATCACCGTGAGCAGCCAACAGCTCTAACAGATCAAGCATTACCGAACACAGGACAGTCTATGCGGGACAGTGCAGCTGTATGGACTGTACAAAAGTTATTAGGGGCAAGGGGGTCAGAAAAGCAGGGGTTGTAATTTAGATTTTTTGTGAAAGGAAAAGTATTTAATTATATTCAAATAAATACTTATTTATTTATTCATTATATTTATTATTGTTCTTACTCCATGCTTGTATTTTTTTATTTAGAACATATTCTATATTGTGTGATTTGTGTGGAAAGTAAAAGGAGATTCTATTTTTACATCAAAAATTTGCTTTTTTCACGTGTGTGATGAAGGTGGATCTAATTATATGTAGAGGACATGGCTGGGATGCACAATCCCCTCAGCCCAGAGCTGTCACTCATTCTATTATGTGGCTATAATTACAGTTTATCAAGCAGCTCTTTCGAAAAAAAGTTTGATCATGTTTACAAGATCTAGCAAACCTCCCCACCCCAACAGCTTTTGTACAGTCCTTAAATTGATTTGGTTGTTAAGTAGTCCGACCAAAATTCGAACGTAAAGATCACAATGACTATACAGCATTGACTAGCAATAGGGAGCAGCATTGTGTTGTTTTTTATTCTTGTGCGTGTTCTCATGCATATACAGGCTTATGTGTGGTGGTGTGAGTGTGTGTCTGTATGTGTGTGTGTGTGTGCACACACACAGTTTGTCTGACACAACGATGAGTTAATTAAGCGTGACGCGAAGCGAGGAATGTTTGTGACGTCAGTGCCTAAATTGACTCTGTATTCTACTTTGTGTTCCTTTTAAAATATCTGAACTATTTTAGGCAGTTAGTGTCGTGTGTGTACACTTTCACATCAGGGTCAATATACATGAATCGGAGGCGACTTCCTGTTGCTCCTTGTTGGTTTGGGGGGGAGAAGGTATCTGTCCTTCAGTTTGCCTGTCCATCTTTCTGACAGAAGGAAGAGGGGTGGAGGGGTGGGGGCTTATGCCGTCTCAGTCTGAGAAGAGACTGGCAAAGGATTTGCGCAGGTTGCGTATGGTTTCGGCCTTCACCTCGTCCTGGCTAAGGCTGGCTCGTGGTGCTGGGGTTTCTGGAATGTTGAAGGTATTGGTAAGAGACTGGGACTTGCTATAAAGAGAGGAAAATGGCAATAGAGGAGAGGGCTATTAAAGTCATGCAGCAAACCCATGGAATGAAAAGACTGGTGCATGGCAATACAGAGAGAGGGACAGGAGAGGAAAGGATCGATAAAAGATGCTTAAAGCGCATTCCTCCTCTGCGGTCATTCAGTATCACCTTATCATTTCAACATAGCTTTGATATGATATGAATAGTGAATGACTTTTCTGGATGCAAAGTGATGCATGTTTGTTTTTTTGATCAGCGACTGATGATTATGTTCAGTCTCTATTTCAAGAGAGTGTAAAATGCCATTTCATCAATTTAATCCAAAATCAGGATTATCTGTAAATTATTCATGAAGACCATCAACTGGAATATTGACCACTCACATAGAAGCAATCATTTTAATTATTTATACAGTCCAACACAGATCTGTACAGTTGCAGTTGCATTATTCATCAGGCAAATATAAACAAAATTCCATGTATAGTGTGTGTGTGTATGCCTGCTATAAGAAAATTGATATAGAGATGTATAGAATATGGACATCTGTGTTAAAGAATGTTAATTGTTACAGAAGTAATAGAATCATTATGTTTCTGAGCAACTACAAACCAAGTCCTCTTGTTGTTCTAACTTGTCACAGTCTCTCCAGACAATCTGAAATGTTGTGTTTTGTGAAAATGCTGTTGACGGATTGAAAAATGTAAAAATCCATACATCATGCACATTCAGGTGGATCAACTGTCAATAAAGAGAATGAATAGATTTCCCATGTGGCATGCAAACTCTATCTGAGTGCAGGCAAAATGTAAGACGGGATCTTCTGTCCAGGTCAGCTGTGCGGGTCACTTCATGAAAAATGAGAGAAAACTGATTAAAGTTATTTATCATACACCTTTACTTACTTTAGTTGTGGGGAGCCGCCCATTGCCTGGTTGTCCTGGCTGGGTTTCTGTGGAGGCTGAGGCTTTTGCTGCAGTGGAGGTCGTCCTCCTGGGGCCCCCTGGCCTGGAGCAGCAGGTCGAGGCTGCTGGGTGGTGGGTGCTCCAGGGCGACCTTGCTGACCGTGAGGCCTCTGTGCCCCCCCCTGTGACTGCTGCCTAGGCGGCTGGGCAGGCCTCTGTTGGGGTTGGCCACCTGGAGGTTTCTGGCCAGGGGCTCCTGCAGGTGGTTTCTGCTGGGAGGCAGACTGTTGCCTCTGAGTTTGAGGGGAACCTCCCTGGCTTCGCTGAGGAGAGCCCTGACCAGAGGAAGGTCTCTGACCTGGAGGAGCTCCCTGACCTTGTGGCCTTGGCTGTGCTGCAGGTCCTTGATGAGCCTTACCCTGGGCACCGGGTTCACCTGCAGCAGGGCTGGTAGCAGACTGCTGGGCCTGTGCAGGTGGTTGACCTTGAGGCTGTGGGCGCTGCTGAGATGGGGGACTTTGCTGTGGACCACCTAAGCAGTACAAAAGGAGCAGCAATCACAATCAATTACTTTTCTAATATCATTACAAACACCTGCAAATAAAAAACAATTCATCTTTCAACAAAAATAAATCTTTTCTTACCCTGAGGTGAGGGCCGCTGCTGAGTCTGTGGTACTCTTGGCTGAGAGACAGGCTGAGGAGACACTGCTTTCTACAAATGACACCACAAAAAAAATAGTGATCAAAGTAAAAAGAATTTAAAAAAAAATCACATTCTGAAAATAGAATGTGAAAATCTTTTCTCTTAACTGTCTTAATATGGTGAGAAATGTGAGCTCTGCCAGCAGATGCTCGATGTCTAGAAATCCTAACAATATATTCTAGTTTATACAACGTTGCAGGAGTGCTAAATAATTCCTGCACAGGATGTTTGACTGCTTCTGGCCCCTCTGGTCAATTGTCACATTATATCAGACTATGTCAGGGCTCTCTAGTATTAAGCCTGGATAGCCCCAGGGATCAGTGCTTGGCCAATGACTGTTCTGTTTTATGATATTTTATGTCTCCTGGTTATATTACCCATAGTATTACCTGAAGTATGAAATAAGTCTCCATGCTGATGACACTCGATTATATGTCATTATTAACCCTGACATCTATCCTCGAATCTGTTTGTCTGCTACATCAGTATAAAACTTGTCAGCTCACTCCCTGCACCTGACAGTAAAATAGTGTTGAACAGAAATGCAATGTGTGACACATTTGTGACATTTCTTCACAAATGTTTGTTTTGCAATGGTTCCAGCAATGGACTGCTCTGCCACGAGACTATGCATGAAAGTGTGCACCCTGAATAAGAACAGACCTGATTTGGCAAATAAAAGTGATAAAAGTGGGGGAAATTTAGAAAGATCACTGGAGCAAGAAAGGAGTGTCTGAGCACCTGTGCTGGTTGTCCTGCAGAGGCACGGACGGTGGAAGAGCTGGAAGTGCGTGGAACAGTCTGGTTCATCTGAGAGACCACCAGTTCTGCAATCTGAACACGATCTTCATCCTGTTGGTCCCCAATCAGCGGCATGGAACAGTCATCAACCTTAAAAAGAGAAAACACACGATGGGCTTAACGGGTTTACCTCACGATCAAGGACACATATTCCCATGGTATCATCACACTGCCTTCTGGTACCTCTATAATGTAGTCCTTGCCGTCTTTGCCATGTAGAGCCTCCACAGCACAGATATCCAACCCTCCGAAGATGTCGGCACAAGAGTCCACCCACATTCTGTACCTGTAATTATCAAACAGCTATAATAGTACAGAGAGACACATCACTTATGATTTCATTTCATCTTCATTTATGTGCTCTTACTTGTCAGACATGGCCACCTGCTCGAGCATAGATGAGCCAGTGTTGGTTTTCCAGTTGCCAGAAATAGATGTTCTCCTGTTGATAAGAATAAACACTTACTTAACATATTCTAACATCTCATACGATATACTAGTGTGCTGTGGAGGTTTTTGCAATCACATTTGGTGGAGTTAATTTAGCAGAACCCTGATTTCACTCACATGTAAGCCTTGTAATTGTTTCCAATCTTCTGAATGCGGACGTCATACTTTGCATCAATAAAAGGCTCAGATGTGGCATAAGTCTTGGTCAGTGCCACAACACTGGCAATATCTTGAAAATCATATTGATTGTCCACTTTCACCTGGAGTCAAGGTATAAACATGATGACACACATTAGACCCAAAAACATGGCGTTCACAGTGAAATGAGTAAATACTCTGGGTTTTCAGCATTACCTTTCCCATTCCTGAGTGAGCATGGCCCATCTTTACTACTACAGGGAAGTGAGGGGAGGTGATCTGTAACAGGAGCATTATCACATATTCAGATTTCTCATAAATTACATTTATGGTGGTTCTCTAATGATTAAAATGACAATATTTAATCCATTTCAATTAAAGAGAAATTAAATATTCAGTAGCACCCATCCTCTGTATCTGCAGGGAATCCTGACTCATATTGATGGCTTGAAAGCCAGCCCAGTGCTGCCAGCCTGTGACTGCAGGGGGAGGAGGCGACTGCTCTACTGCAAGTCTCCCTATAATTGCACTGACACTGATCTGGCACTCAAATGATCAAAAACTCTGCCTTTACCCAGAACGACAACAACAAGACACTCCCCAGGAAATTAGATTGGTCTCAGCTGCTGGATGAGATTGAATATTGACAAGGAAGTGAATTACCCTCCAAACATGTGACCGGTGGAGAGGGATGACCTGTCAGTGTGTATGTCTCTTTAAGGGTTGTTTACCATGAAGACATACCCATCAGGGCAAGTGGGAAGAGGGAGGAGATGGGGGGGGCAGATGGCAACCAACTCACCATTTCCTTGTGGTTTGGATAGTAAACCTGCTCAATCAGTGGGAACTCCTCTGGGCCTAGCTGCTTGTAGAGTCTAGACATCTGAGCAAACTGAAATGGAAACAAAAGCTCAAGATGCAGCATTATAAGTCTGTGTGAACAATAAAGTTTCTCATGAATTAACACTTTAAATGGGACTTACCACCCACGGTTTGTCACAGAAATTGTAGACAGAGTGCAAAGAGTTAACACTAGGCAGTCCAGCGTACTGCAGGCCGATCACTATGTTACGGTGATCTCCGTTCTTGTCCATGCTGAAGGCGTGCTGTCTGATCAGCACGAAGTCTGGCTTAAAGGACCTGAGACAGAGACCATCAGCAAATATTACACCGCACAGTAAGAGACAACTGTTTGGTAATTAGGTGCATGTCCAAATGGTATCTCCCTATAGCTGCAACTGCAAATAATCAAACTCTTTTCACATGTTACTTACTTAGTAACCTTATGTCCGTTCCTGATTGCATCGATGTCCACATTGTAGCCGCCTGTAGAATTCGCCACCAGACTGATTTCAGAGAATTCAGCCTGAAAGGACAAGAATCAAGTCAGTCCACAACAAACAGCATAAAAACCACTGTGGTCACCATCAGAGCAGGAGGGCAATAGATTACTGCTTACAGACTTGAATAGAATAGAATAGAAAGCAGTTTAAGTTTAAGTTCGACAAATGACACAACCAATAAATCTGAGAATTATATATTTTTCAGTAGATACCTATTAGTAATTGCACAATATGAATATTGCATTTGAAAATGATGTTAGTATATATGTCAATATATCATGTTGATAGAGTTTAGGTTAAATAACAGTTTTTGACTCTATTTGAGAGACTCGCTGCGTCCGAGCACGCCGCCATATTTTTCTATATCTGAAGTGTGTTCATCCTGAAGAGAGGCTACAGGGTCAATCATGACAAGGCAGAGCAACATGTAGAAGAACAAACACAGAATACGTTTTTTTATATTCCATGGTCTCCTCTGCTCTGAAGGTGCTGCTGGGTGGATACACACATATTCTTATAAGGACATCACCATGCACAAATGTACATCAATTATCACAGTTGGCTACACAATGAACTCATTTACCTAAGATTAAAAAATGTAATCCCTCATAGTGACTGTGGAGGCATCTGACAGACAATCTGTTTCTTTATCACATGTCAAAACGGAGCATGTCAGTGTGGAAAAGACTGCAAGAGTCCAGTCTCCTGTCAATACTCACACATTACTGAACTGGGACATCTATCATTGTGATGGCTCATAGTAACAGCTCCCACTGTACTGGATGATTTATTGTGCCGGCTATCGAAGAAACCATGAATCATTTTACACTAGTATCAAGCCAATAGTTGATCAGTGCGTCTAAAACAAAATGATTTTCCAAATGACTTAGCAGTGACACTGCTGCAGAAAATAAAGATGTGAAAGGATAAAAGGGAAGGAGAGGATGAATAATGTGGCCAGAGGTACGCTTTGCATTGAAAATTTATAGCCACTAATGGTTTTAGAGATAATAATGACTAGAGGGGAATAAACCATCCACCATGATGGTTTTAGTTTCCAGAAAGTCTGAAATACTAATTTCTTATGAAAGAATGATGTAACATTGGTCCAACTGGTGTTCACAGTATAGTCACAATGCTCACAGGGCTGGCTGTGTGCCTGCATAGGGAGTAAAGAAAAACCATATAGAACAAAAGTTCCTTATGTGAAACCCACCTGTTCCACCTTGATGTCGAATTCCCCGTGGATCTTTCTTCCTCTGAAGATCTTCACCCTGAATGTGAAACAAGGAATCCACTTGTTCTTTTTATCCAGAAATAAAAGCTTTGCACACTTCTCCTCCTGTGACTGACAGCTGACATTTCCTCCAGCATTTGCAAAGCTTTCAAAAACTATTTGCAGCTATTCCTGGCCAATACAGATGTGACGCCAAATACATGAAATGAGCTGACATCAGAGGAACAAAATCCTCTTTTCCTGTATCAGTGTGTGGCTCTCTGCTTCTGTTAACTGAACTGCTGCTAATGCAAAACACCAAAATAACCCTAGATGTGACATTATTATCATCTACCTGCATGGAGCATGAGGATATGAACTAGACATGTAAGGACACAGAGACAGTCCCCTACACTTTAGTGCACCCTATGAAGAGTCAATACCTTCCTCTTCTGCCTGATGTGACAGAGTTGATGTGATGGTGCACATATCTGCAGTGATGTGTTTTATTACTTGTGCTGCAATGAGCATGCACGATGTGGAGAGGCTCAACTAAGATGCATGTTCTCCTGCAGAATTAGCCCTTGATTTGAAAATACCTGCATCATCATCATGGTGGTATAGTGCGGTGCCATAATTTAAGCATAAATGGCAGGGTGCAGGAGGGAATTCGTCACAAGATGATCGTCGAATGAAAATGGCTTCTCTGCCCTCACTGTGTGTTGCGCCTTAGCCATGGCACAAGACGCACAGATACCTCTCTGCCTGCAAGGTGTTTGTGATGTGGGCATGGAGCTGCTACACGTGATGTGTCCCACGGCACAAGGGTGAGTCATATGACCTTCTGCATGTTAGGGCCACTGGCACACATCTCTGTCTAGACGATGGCACCTGCATGTTGCTCTTACCAGTCGGTCTGCTGGTCATCGATGACCAGGAGGATCTTGGCGCTGCTGGAGACCCCTGCCCGGTCCGCAGCCTCGGATAAGGTGGCGGCCGCGGCAGCTGTGGTCTGTTTGACAGCGTTGGATATGGAGGAGAAGAAGCCAGCGCCTCCACCTGCAGACTGCTGCTGAGGCTGCGGGCTGCCGGTGGTGGACTGACGCCTCTCCGACGGCCCGGGCGACACTGCGGGGCTCTGCTGCGGCGGGTCGGGCCGCTGGAGATCGCTCATGTAGCCATTGGGCAGGTTGGACATGAAATTGCTGTCCGAGAGTCGACGGCGTAGGTAGTTCATGATGATGGAGGCTCGTTAAAATGACGGAGGGATGGGTCCGAAATATGCTCCCACTGAATGAGTCTTGCAACTTGGGTGTTCGGGGAGAAAATGGGATGACGAGGCTACTTGGCCATGAACAGAAACCGGGAGCAACGTCACCTGCAGAGAAACACAGTGATCAACCTGCAGCAGATGTGGGATCAGATCACTGGAGGAAGAAATCGTGACTGCTCATAGCCTGTATAGATTAAAGAACATGAGGACGCACAGGAAGCCACCCTGAAGATTGACTCCACTTCACTAACCTGAATGAGATCATCCATTTACACATTGAGCTGTGAACCCACCTGCAACACAACCCTGACATGCAGAATGTGGTCATGATGCTGGAGCCTACCTGGGAGTGTATCCACACCGATCCTCCCCAAGGATGAGCTGATGTCTCCTCAGTATCACTATGATTGTTACAGTCTGTCAGTCACAGGGCAGCCTGTGTACGGGTGGGTGTCATGTCCTCGTGCATCGGGCTTGAACCTGTGAAATCAACGCTACACTCCCTCCTGCATCACCGCCCTGTCCTTCCCCCTCAAGCCCCGGTTTTTTCCGTCCGCCCTGCGTCACTCCCAGTCATCCTGAGGGAGCGCAGCCCGCATCACACCGCACTGAAGACAGAGGAGTGAGGCAGCACTTCCCCACGGTGCTTTCAAAATAAACACACCTTCATTAGGATGAGGGAGTCTGTGTGTTCTTATTGCTATTGTTGTTATTCTTACTGTTATTATCATTATTATTAGTAGTAACATTAGTGGTTTGGTTCAATAGCATTAATAATAGTGTTGGTTTGTTTCTTATTTACACCGACTAATCATATGTATCTATTCATAATGTAATTCCATTTTATTCTTCTATTTTGTCTGATCATGTTCCATTGTTTATTCTTATTATTCCTTCAGTCTAACACTGTTATAAAGGGTGCTATATACATAAAGTTCATATTATTATCCATGCAATATCCATATTATTATCATTATTGATGTGTTTTCAAATCAGATGTAAAGTACAATTTCCAAATTGCTGGACCCAGTTTCTAAAATGTGCATATTTGTGGTTTGTGTCTCTTTCATAACCATTTCAAATTGAATACTCAGGTTTGTACATGTTTAGCAAAATTTTTACATCTGTAATCTTGGTAATGGTGATTAATGTTAGCATTTCTTTTTCTTCTCATCAACATTTTTACGTTATTCTACTCCTTTAATTATATATATTTATAAAAACAAAACAATAAACTGATCACCTGAAATGAAAATAAGCTCCAGCACTGAATCAAAGAATCTCAAAGACCTCCGATAGTCTGCTACTTTTATTGTGATGCAGGCCATCTGAGGACACGCGGCTGACTTCCTGTGCTGCCCAGTGTGTGTCTGTGGCTTGACGCAGCTCCGTGTTGGGATGTGAGGATATGAGGGTGGTGCTGATGAGAGCAGGGGGACAGAGGCGGTGCTCTCTGTCAGACATCAGCCTGCTGTGGACTCCTCAGGTCTGCTCATGAGTGTTGATGTGATGCTGCACCCTGTTGTGTCCAATAATCCTGTTTGTCTCTCAGCAGTGATACCCTCCAGCAATACAGACTGTGTGGCCTGCGCCATCTGCTGGTGATGTACGACCCTGCAGAGACACAGATCAACATGGACCCCCTGGGGGACTCCGGCTCCCCCTGGAAACACCACTGACAGTAACTGAGCTGTTTTCATTATGGACACACACACACACACACACACACACACACACACACACACACACACACATCCTTCTTTGTAAGATGTTTTTTTCTTTTTTCTTTCCTTTTTAAAATGAATTTATCAGTGAAATGAGATTGCTGGATTTATTAAGATGCATACAGTGTCTTCCATTGGCCTCATTTTAAAATCTTTAATAGGAAAAAAGTTATCAACACTGCTGTGCATAATATTCTTGGAAAAACACCAAAAGACCTGATGTGGGAAACGGATCAGCATTGATACAGAACACTCAGAATCACAGCCTGGAGGTGAATAAAGAGGAATTGGTTAATATTCTGAAGTAAATATTGACTTCTACGACTTATAATATGTTTATACAGTTGATTAACATATTATATCTCTCTGTACTCCTTCAGGTGTTGTCTAACCACACCAAGAAAGAATAGAGATATCATAATCACGCTGTGTCATGTAGGAGACATGACACAGCTTTCAGTGTTCTTTGTGCCAAAAAAGAACATTCTGCCTGAATTTGACAATCTGGGACAGGTCACTTTGTAATGTGGGACACTTGTATTAGGTTTTCAAAAAGCCTAAATCACCTCGCTTTATGCTTTATGCACGCTCAATATTATACATTTCTATAAAAGCATTGTGAAAAAATAACTAAGAAATGTATATTATTTATAGAAATGTCATAAAGTCATATCATCATGTAAAAGCATTTTTACATGATAAATAAAGAAAGTATAATATCCATTTAAAACTTTCTATTAAAGGTGTAGCACTTTTTCGTTTTTTTAAAACCCAAAACACATTTTAAACAACTCAATGCATATATTGTTGCTTGAATACATCACAAACATAAATTCATAACAATCAGAATCACACTACACTTGCCCGCCCCTTTCTGTGACATCACCCCCATGAAGTCATGTAATTTCAGTCACATGATGTTCATGCGAAACTGTGAGAACAGGTAATAAACAGACTGGAGCTGAGGTGTCCAACATTGCTCAATAAGCCAGTAACATAATAATTAATAAGCTTAGAGATGGAGAGATTAACTGAAAGAGTGAGAGATGAAGAGACAGAGTAAAATACATAAATGGAGGATATATGAGGCCTATAATTAATTTTAAAAGTAAAATACAGAAACTGAGATTAACAGAGTCTATAAAAGGACAGAGAGGATGTTAGGTTTACAGACAAGAACATAATCAGAGCAGAGGAGGAATGACACAAACACACACATACATATATGTACAATCAAACAATTACATGGACAAATACATGAATACACTGAATACTTCTTTATGACACAATTAATATATTGCATGACCTTTTTCTGCCTGAGTAAATAAAATATGATTTATGATTGACCAGCTGCTGGTATCTAATTAATAATGCAGGATAGTTACTGCCACGGTTACATTAATCAGGGTTACATTCACTGGGTTTTCTTTTTGTAAATGTTTGTAGCTGAATATCAATGTTCAGTTTGAGCTGCTGACTTATTCATGGTGGCAGTTCATACACGTCTTCTACTACAGAGACAACTACCAACATACACTTTCTTATATAAAATGGGAGTAAAGCCAGTCAGTTGTGGATTTGGTTTAGAGAATAGTACTAGTCACTGTGTGTTGAAAACAACTGTACCAGTTGTATAGAAATATGAAAATATGCAAATATGAAATTATACAATTATGGCTATTCAAAGTAAAATGTGTTTCAGTGTAATCACAATCATCTGTCTTTTTAAAGTGAGTTGAAAATGTAATTTGTTTTTTTTAGCATAGTAATAGTAAACAAAGTAACCAGACAAAATCACATCCTTGTTTGACGTTCAGGCAAATTGTGGACAGTAAAATGCTACAAAACTAGAAAATCTTGGTCGGACACATTCACGGATTCCATTCATTTTACGGCCAGATTCTTCACATTTTAAAATGTTGATAATGAATGGAAACTGTCATTGAGAAAACATGTTTCTTAAGAGAAGTAGCTGAGGGGTAGAGTGGGCGTCCTCCAGCAGTTCGATCCCCAGTCTTCCCATCTGCATGCCGAATTTCCCCATAGAACAAAAAAAGTGCTGCTAATAGATGCACTGTATGAATGTGTGTGAATGGCAAACTGTAGTGTTGAGTGCTTTGAGTGGTCATCAAGACTAGAAAAGCACTATACAAATACAAATACAAATACAAAACCATTTATCCATATACAGTAGTATATGTAATAGCTTTGCTATTACAGTGAAGGGCTTAGGGAGGCAGTGTTGAGCTTAAATTAAGCACAGCACTCATAATTTATGAGCCAGAATTCTTCCCTGTCAAGACAATAAGCACGAGTGTTGGTCAGTCAGTATTAAACAGCCAAAAACAGTCAAATAAATAACATTAAAATACCCAGTATACACCCATTATATACCGTAACAGTATACAAAATAAAGGTGTCTTCTGTTACACTGAAATAAATAACCTGTCTGATTTACTTGATGATAACAATTTGGACATG